GTAATTTGCTTCCTTACCTTAAAAAGCAAAATAATGACTCACCAGCTAATCAACTGTTGTCCTGCCATTGACCCTTTCTTCCCTCTGTCTCTGCTTTTTATTTTCTTTTATCCCGATTGCTTTCGGTTACTGCTTTCGGTTGCTTTCGTGCTGTCAACCTCGGACATGTCCCATCTCACCCAATCCCTTAACTGCACCTCCTTCTGGGAATATCGGCCAGCTCCCAGCACACACACCCCACTCTCAGCATATCTCACTGTGATCTCCACTTTCTGGGGGATCTACAACTAAGGGCCTTTGGTATAAGACTGGGTGCTACAGTCAGGAAAATGCAGGTGAAACATCTTGACCCAGAGTGTTCAGAACTTGAAGCTGACAATGACCGGGAGTCGATGAGGTCGATACCGTTGCTGTGTTTAAGAGGAATCTAGATAGAAACACAAGGTAGAAAGGAACAGGGAGGACGCACTGAGAGGCTGAGATGAAATAGCACAAGAGGAGGTTTGTTTGAAGCAGAAAAGCCAACATGGGCAGTTGGGCTGAATGGCCAGTTACTGTGCACTTGATCACTATGCAGTTCAACAGGCCTGTCCTGGTGGCTGGTAAATATTGAACAACATGACAGATTGGAATAGTGCTTGTTGGAACACCGAAAGGTACCACAAAAGGATGTTTGGTCACTAATGTCACTGGCTCCTATAGAACATAAGAACATAAGAACTAGGAGCAGGAGTAGGCCATCTGGCCCCTAGAGCCTGCCCCGCCATTTAATAAGATCATGGCTGATCTTTTTGAGACTCAGCTCCACTTACCCGCCCGCTCACCATAAACCTTAATTCCTTTACTGTTCAAAAATTTATCTAGCCTTGCCTTAAAAACATTCAGCGAGGTAGCTTCAACCGCTTCACTGGGCAGGGAATTCCACAGATTCACAACCCTTTGGGTGAAGAAGTTCCTCCTGACCTCAGTCCTACATCTGCTTCCCTTTATTTTGAGGCAATGCCCTCTAGTCCTAGTTTCACCTGCTAGTGGAGACAACCTCCCTGCCTCCACTTTATCTATTTCCTTCATAATCTTATATGTTTCTATAAGATCTCCCCTCATTCTTCTGAATTCCAATGAGTATAATCCCAGTCTACTCAGTCTCTCCTCATAATCCAACCCTCTCAACTCTGGAATCAACCGAGTGAATCACCTCTGCACCGCCTCCAGTGCTAGTATATCTCTTCTGAAGTAAGGAGACCAAAACTGCACACAGTACTCCAGGTGTGGCCTCACCAGGACCCTATACAGCTGCAACATAGCCTCCCTGTTTTTAAACTCCATCCCTCGAACAATGGCAGACAAAATTCCATTTGCCTTTTTAATTACCTGCTGCACCTGCAATCCTACCTTCAGCGACCTGTACCTTGGGGCTAGGATGCTGTTGGAATCAGCAGTAAGCTCCAGGGGATACCACTCTCCACTGCCCCTCCTCATCAGCCAGATTCCGAGCTGAAAGGAAAGTTAGCCTCAGATGCATGTTCTGAGTCTGACCAAACAGAAGTAGGGAGTTACTGGAATGATGCAGAGCCCATCTCTCATCCTTGGAGAGAACAGCACAGTTTAGTACAGTTCAAGACTGCATTGGAGCTATGCTGTTGTGGCCTGGCTTCACCATTCATTGCTCAGTGGATGCCTCTCAAAAGCGCAACATCAGTACAGATAATGCCTGAGAAAAATTCACACTGACATCCCAGTGCCAAAGCATAAAACTGCCCAGACATTAGCACAGGGGAGACTAAACTAGCAGGAAACTTCAGATTAATCTGACGCTCAGCTGCAGTGGTGCGGCTTGCTAAACCAGAACACGGTCAAGGTTGGATAATCTCCTCCCTGTCGCTGATGAGAAAACAAGCAGCATACTCAAGATCAAACAAACTGCAGGATCATCAGGTTCAAAAACAGAACATTCACACTGCACCAGTGCGCTGCTACTTCATACAACAGCACCCAGCCCCTCGACTCCAACACTCAGCCCCTCGACTCCACTCCAACACCCAGCCCTTCAACTCCAACACCCAGCCCCTCAACTCCGCTCCAACACCCAGCCCCTCGACTCCAACACCCAGCCCCTCAACTCCACCATCCAGCCCCTCGACTACAGTCCACCATCAGCACCTGATCTGATTGTAACCTCAAGCCCACAATCTCATTGATAACTCTCCGATATCCCCGCAACCCCCTTGCTTCGCAAGAATTTCTCTTAAAAATATTCCAGGGCTCTGTGTCCGTCACCTTTTCACGAAGAGAGTTCCAAAGATTCTCCGAGAGAAGAAAAGATTCACCTCATCTCTGTATTAAATTGATGAGGATGGGGGGGGGCACTCCTGGTTTCTACCCAGTGAGGGATTTACTCCTGCTTTATACTATGCATTTGGAGACAGTTTAGACAAGTCTGTTTTGTTGCTGTACCCTCTGTGCGGAGGGTAATGAACCCATACTCAAGGAGATTACTGCTGCCTCTAGAATAGAGCTGAACCTGGTTTAGGGTCAGGTACTGTGCCCCAGTCCCTGGTGACCAGTTACCAGGTACTGGCAAATGCCTATAGCTTCCAGATCAAACCGTGAGCTGAGCCAAAGGGAGCTGTGTTGTGGAATTGGAGTACCATGTTTGTGGGTTCACTCAGTGACCATGGTGGGGACAGGAAACACTGACTGTTTAGACCTTAGATTCTGGGAAGTGGTAAGTGTTCAAACCCTTTCAAGCCACTCAGTTTTTCCTCTGTTGGGTGTCATGTTGGGTATTGCTGCCAAGGTCTGCTTTTATTCATAGGAATCTCTATAATGCAGAACGATGCCATTCATCCCATTAAGTCTACATTGACCCTCCGAAGAGCATCCCACCTGTCCCTGTAACCCCACATTTCCAATGGCTAGTCCATCTAGCCTGCACACTACAGACAATTTAGCATGGCCAATCCACATAATCTTTGGACTGTGGGAGGAAACCAGAGCACCCAGCGGGAAACCCACACAGACACAGGGAGAATGTGCAAACTTCACACAAGGCAGTCTCCCGAGCCTGGAATTGAACCCGGGTCCCTAGCGCTGTGAGGCGGCAGTGCTAACTACTGAGCCACCATGCCACTCCAATATTGCCCAGTCAAATTTCCTGGTGAAATTTTTGAACCGCTGCAGTCCACCTGCTGTGGTTAGATCCACAATGCCCTTAGGGAGGGAATTCTAGGAGTTTGACCCAGTGACAGTGAAGGAACAGCGATATATTTCCAAGTCAGGATGGTGAGCGGCTTGGAGGGGAACTTGTAGGGGGCCGGTGTTCCCGTGTATCTGCTTTCCTTGTCCTTCTCGATGGAAATGGTCATGAATTTGGAAGGGGCTGTCTAAGGAGGGGTGACTCATTACTGCCATTCCATCTTTTCAACTTTGCTCCATATTGTTGATAAACATACTCTATATAAATCCTATTGCCCTCAGTGAACCTGATGAATTAAAGTGTTAAAGAAACACAATCAAATTCAAAATATTTTCATCTTTGGGTTGCTTTCAAAAGTATCGATGTCCATTTATACAGTGCCTTCAACTGGGAAAGTAGGAGCACTGTAAAGCAGTGGCACTGGGCCTCATAAGGAAATGTTAGAGGGTTTGATCAGCCACTAATTGTAGGAGGGAGGGTTTTGGGGGAAAGCAAGGTCAGAGAGGCAGTGAGGTTTGCAGAGGAATTTCCTGAGATTGAGACCCAGGCAACTGAAAGCACAGTCACCACTGGCGGAGTGATTTAAATTAACAATCAATTAGAGGCCAGAATTAGTGGAGTACAGATGGTCCTGAGGCCAAAGGAGTTTATCAGACTGATTTCTGGGGCGGGATTGACGTATGATGAGAGACGATTAGGACCATATTCACTGGAGTTTAGAAGGATGAGGGGGGAATCTCATAGAAACCTATAAAATTCTACCAGGACTGGACAGGGTAAACACAGGAAGGATGTGTCCAACAACCGGGGAGTCCAGGACCAAGGGTAACAGTCTAAAGATACAGGATAGGCTTTTTAGGACTGAGATGAGGCGAAATATCTTCACTCAGGGAGTGATAAATCTGTGAGATTCTTTGCCGCTTAAAGCAGTTGAAGACGAAACATTGAACATTTTCAAAAAGGAGTTAGATCTAATTCTTGTGGCTAAAGAGATCAAAGGTTTTTGGGGAAAAAACGGGAGCAGGTACTGAGGTGGATGATCAGCCATTATTGTCTTGAATGGTGGAACAGGCCCAAAGGGCTGAAGGGCCTACATCTGCTACTATTTTCTACATTTCGATGATAAAAGGTACGGAGTGGCAAGGCCTCAGATGGTTTTGGAGATGCATATATCAATTTTAAAATCATTGTTTTTCTCGAGTGGGAAACATCATGAGCACAATATGTCCACACGGTCTGCAGCGTGTCAAGATGGCGGCTCCTCAGCTGTTAACAGGGAGGTACGAGTGAAAACACAGGCAGCAGAAATTTGGATGATTCAAGTTAACAGGCAGAAGTAGGCAGGAGTCCAGCCCTAGAGTGTGTTGGGATAGTTAGGTCGAGAGGTAACTGAGGCATGAAGGAGATGATGAGTTGGACTCGGATGAAGCTATTGAAAAGAAAATGGCCGTTCTTGGTGCAAGTACAGGGTTGGTCATTTACCTCAGTGCCTGACGTGACCCCAAAACTGGAAATGAGCCAGCAGTTGTCCAAGAGAGAGGGATACAGTCATTAATTAGGAATTGGTCAAAACTGAAGATGTTAGCTGCAGATTTCCTGATATCTAATTGGAATAGAAGTCTTGGCCCACGTTTCGATCAGAATCAGGAGGGGTGAGGGAGTAAACCTGCAATCTTCAGATTGTAGGATAGGGGCAACCTATGCCAACACCCTTTGAAACAGAAGGTTCCGGAAATCTATATGAGCTATGAGGGCTGGCTGGCATCTTGGAAAGTCCATCTATCCTGTTGTGTTTTTTTGACAGGGTGTGATACCACTGGGCGGATGTGTGGTGGAGGCAAAGGAAGAGCCCAATATGCCATTTGTGATGAAGATTTCCCATGAGGATTTCCACGTAAGTAAGAACTGCCCTCAGGCCAGTAAGACTCCGAGGTACCGGGACAATGTTTGCCCCTTCCAGCCATCCCCGTGTCAGAGGAGATTTCCAACCCAGAGCAATGGGAGTAGGCTGAGGCTCAGAGTTGATAGGGCAAATGGTTGAGCCTTCAAAAATGGTTTCCATCGAGTAAGAGTCAGTGAGTGTCACTTTGGATCCGCTGTTCGGAAAAGGCAAGAGGTTGATCAGAGACCTCTTCAAATCGACGTGTTCAATCATTGGATCCACGTTGTACACCAAAGCTGGACCACGTCACTAAGCGTAATCTTGCCTGTCAATCAGGCTCCACGACATCAGTTCCCTTCAAATCAATTTGAGTTTTATTGAGAAGCATTTGCCCCGATCTTTCCAATGAGAACACGCCGTCGTGCTCAGTTTGGATACACCCCTGTGTGTTCATTGCCTTTGCTTTGACAGCTTGCCCTCTCACTCTCACAATCTTTGCTTCAAAAGAAGTTTTACTCTCAGTTGCTGTCATCAATGGGAACCAACACCTAACAGTGCATTTGTTGAACTAACATATGCGCTAAGAGCAGGAGAAGGCCATTCACCCTCTCAGGTCTACTCCGCTATTCAGTAAGATCATGGCAGGTACGGTTGTGGCCTCAAATGTAATTTCCTGCCTATCCAGACACCATAACCTTTGATTCCTTTTGTCAGTCAATGATTTAGCAAGCTCAGCTCAGTTGGCTGGATGACGGTTTTGCGATGCAGAGTGACGTCCACAGGGTGGGTTCAATTCCTGCACCTACTAAGGTCACCATGAAGGACTCTCCCTCTACCCTTGCCTGAGGCATGACGACCCTCAGGTTAAACCCCCACTAGTCATGTCTCTCTCTCTCTCTGAGAGAGTGGAACCTTTGTGACTTATTGGCCTTACAAAGACTCAATGACCCTATCTCTACTGTTTTCTCTGCTGGGGACTCCCAACAACCTCTCTGTGTCCCCTCTAGGCTTTCCTCCATCATCTCAGCATCCAGCCTGTCAACTTTTCTCATGATTTTACACCTCAGTAAGACTTTCATCCTTCTAAACTCCAGTAGATACAGCTTACCCTGTTCAACATTTCATTGTAACCCCTCCTCCCAAGATTCAGCCAGGTGAACCTTCTGTGAACTGCTTCTCATGATATTATATTCTTTCTTTAGTAAGGAGACCAAAACCGTACACATCAGATGTGGTCTCACCCATGCCCAGTACAATTGTAGCTGACTTCCCTACTCTTATGTTCTATTCCCTTGCCTTTCTAATCACTTGTTGCTTTTTGTCAATCACTTCTTGTGATGCTTATAGCAAGATCTCCAAGCCACTCACCATCCTGACTTGGAAATATAACATCGATCCTTCACTGTTGCTGGCTCCAAATCCTGGAATTCCCTCCCTGAGGACATTGTGGGTCTACCTACAGCACGTGGACTGCAGTTCAAGAAGCCAGCTCACCGCCACCTTCTCAAGGGGCAACTAGGGACGGGCTGTAAATGCTGAGCCAAGCCAGCGACTCCCATGTCTCACGAGACAATAAAACACCACGATCCCTGTGTGCATTGCAGAGCTCTGCAATCTCTCTCCATTTTAAATAAGATGCTGGCTTCCTATTCTTTTTGTCAACGTGATCAAGTTCACAATTTCCCACATTATACCCCATCTGCCTTTTTTTTAACCTACTCACCGAGTTTATCTCTATTCCCTTACATTCACTTCACAACTCATTTTCCAACCTATCTTCATGTCATTAGTAAACTATACATTCAGTCCCTTCATCCAAATCATTGATATAGACCATAAATAGTTGAGGACACAGCACTGACCTCTGTGGTACTGCAGTCACTGCCTCTTGCTAACACAAAGTGCCCCATTTGTAATGTCAGCTGCTATCCATGCAATTACGTTTACCCTCCTAGACTGTGAGTTGTCAATTTGTGATGTAGTTTGTTTTGATGCCTTGTGTCTTTGGAAATCCAGGTAGACAACATCCACAGGTTTCCCTTTATTCACCCTGCTTTCCACTCCCTCAAATAACTAAAACAAAATTAGTCAAACATGACTTCCTTTTCAAAAAACCATGTTGACACTCCCTGAATGCGTTATGATTTGCAAAGTATGGTGCTAGAAACTCCTTAATAATAGATTGCAGCATTTTCTCAATGAAAGATGTTGGGGCTAATTATTACTTTCTGCCTCCCTCCTTCCTTCACTACAAAAATTATGGTCATTAATTTTTAATCTCATGGGACCTTTCCAGAGTCTTTTTTTATATTCTCTGGTGGGACGTGGGTTTCGTCGCCTGGGCTAGCATTTATTGCCCATACCTAGTTGCCCTTGAGAAGGTGATGGTGAGCTTGAACCAATGCAGTCAATGTGCCATAGGTAGAACTAAAATAACCTTAGGGAGGGAATTCCAAGATTTTAACCCAGTGACAGTGAAGAAACGGTGATATATCTCCAAGTCAAGATGGTGATCCATGGAAGATTGCATCACGTGCAGCTGTTATCTTACAAGGCATTTCTTTCCAGACCCTCCGATGAAGTCCATCAGGACCTGGGGACTTGTCCAATAGTTTTCCCTGGTGATTGAGATTTAAGATCCTTCCTTCCTTTCATCTTTTGACTTACAATCATCCCTGAGATGTCTTTTGTATATTTTATAGTGAAGTCTTTGCTCAATTCATCTGCCAGTTTCTTATGTTCCGTTATTAATTCCTCAAACGCACTCCCTAGAGGATGTATTTGCTTTAGTTGCTGTTTCCCTTTCTAAAATACCTGGAGAAACCCTAGACGAGGATGCGAGTTTTAAAAGTGAGACTTTGCTTAACTGGAACTGACAGAGGCTGGAGCTGAGCAGAACTTGTCAGGAGAAAGGATTGGGGAAACAGGCAAGATTTGAATCTCCTCAAGCTTACTGAGGCTAGGTGTCGGATGGAAGAAGTTTGGAGTAGTTTAGTAGAGAGGTAACGAAGGAATGGGTGAGGGGTTTCAGATCAGTTGATGTGTGAGAAATGTCAGGCAACGCAGAACTGTGTCACAATGTCTTCGCAATGGCTTGGATGTGTGGTTAGAATCCAGTTTACAAGCAAGAGTGTGTTGCCCGGTTCCTACTGAGCTTTAACAGTGTTGGCTCGTTGAAGATCCTGAGGCCATTAGACAGATTGTTGAACTGAAACAGTGCCAGCTACCCCAGTCCCAGTCCGGCTTTATCCTCATGCATTCTTATCTCCATATCTCTGCTATGCCTAAACTACAGCCTTTGTCCTTTGACTGTCTTTGTGATCTGCCAGGTTTTACATAAACGATAGAGTTGTTTATCTCAGCAAAAGTGACACTGGAGGGACAAATCCAGAAATCCTGCACCACCCCAGACTCAGGCCTCCACCATTTTTGCAGTGGGAGATTGGGAGGGAGTCCCAATTTGCACATCTGTAGCTTACTCATGGGATGTCCAGAGCACAACTTGTGCGTTTATAAAGGGAAGTAAAAGTTCCAAAACTGGTGGAGATATTTCAAGACAGAGGTACTCTTTTGGATTTTGTTCCAGAACATTTTTGGGAACAGTCAAGAACTTGTTGTGTGAGATTAAGCTTGCTTTGGGTTTGTTAAAAGTCAACATGAATGAGTGTTATAAGCGAATAAACTGATTGGCGCCGTCAACTTGTTTAGAATTGTCAGAGGGTTATCAAAGGGAATTGCTGAGAGAGCTGTGAAGCAATCAACTAATCTAACTTAACTGTGTTAAATTTTGAAAAGAAGACTATTCACTATTAAAACAAAGCAGTGCTTGCCATTTCACTTACTCTGTTGGAAAATACTTAAGGGCTGTCATTAAAGGATTAGTGCTGTATGATTGATTTCACAACGTATCATTATCACAGTGGTTTGCCTGTTAGTTCACAGTTTGTTTGACAGCTCCAAGTGCTTATTACGTTTTTGAGGTGGGTCTTTGAACACAAATGTTTGTTCTTATGAGGAAGAAATTATTAAAGAAATATAGTGAATGAGTTTTGTCAAGGAAAGAGTTTTTTTTTAAAAATGGTGAATTCATCAATTGAACTTGATTTTTGTTTTAAGTCAGTGTGTATCCTGAGGTTGGTCCTTATCGGACACTGGAAGATATGTAGAGTTTGTTAAAGTAAGGAATGTGTGTGTATGGGGTTGTCATGGATTGATGTGAGCCAGAACTAAGTTAGCGTGGGTGATAGAAAGAGGCATTAGGAATAAATGGGTGGCATATGATGGCAGAGAGAATATGGGGGGCCATGGGTGGATGGTTAGGGGTTGCCATAGGTTTGTGTGGATGGAACATGGGGAAGTGCCTGAAGGCTGGATGCTGGAGAGATGTTTCTTGTGGTTTACTTCTATTGCCCAACCCGAATGGAAAACCAAATTTCAGATTCATTTCCCCCCTCCCCCACCCCCAAACTCCACCCCGAGGTCAGATTTGCAGAAGCAGGAAGCGACCGGGTTTGGGTTGGGAAGTCTCTAGCACACACGGATCCCAGAGGAAGAAATTAGTGGGAGTTTAGATTACTGGTGGCTGGAACAATAAAAACTGAGAATGCACAAGGAGGCCGGAAAGTGAGGTTTGTGGGGCTGGAGGAGATTGTAGAGACAGGAACTGGGATGGAGTAGAGTCATAAAGTTGTACAGCCCGGAAACAGACCCTTCAGTCCAACTCGTCCATGCCAACCAGATATCCTAAATTAATCTAGTCCCATTTGCCAGCATTTAGCCCTATCCCTCTAAATGCTTCCTATTGATGTACCTACCCAGACGCCTTTTAAATGTTGTAATTATACCAGCCTTCACCACTTCCTCCGGCTCATTCCATACACGCACCACTCTCTGCATGAAAACAATTGCCCCTTAGGCCCTTTTAAAATCTTTCCCCTTCTCACCTTAAACCTATACCCTCTAGTTTTGGATTTCCCAACTCTGGGGAAAATACCTTGTCTATTTACCCTATC